AAGCCTCTTCAGTCATCAGGACTTGTTCACTAGTGATTCTTTTCTCTGCATTTATCTAGATGTGCACATATACTTCTTATTTATATGTCACTTCTATCTCTTACCTTCTCTGTAACCACATTATGGTTTATCTCTTCCAGTATATTCCATTTTTCTTTTTAGGAACACTGTAACTGTTTATTTTTTTGTTTGGCTTAATTGGGTTTTTTTGTGTTGGTTTTTTTTTTGCTTGTTTGTTTTAATGGAAAGGTACTTCTACTCACTTGCCAGGTTTACAGAAGTATTTTCTCAGTGCTCAGAATTTGACAGTGCCAGTCATGTTTTACACCTCTTTTTTAGGCATCTTCATTTGCTTAGCAAAACTGTGTCTCTTCCATGCAGAGTTTTAGTTACTGCTGCTTCTCTTGCTGGTAAAAGACATTTTCAAATCAGTGTTCAGCTTAGGTTCTATCTGAATAGTGAAACTTAAATGCACAACCATTAATAGAGAAGTGAAACTAATTAACAAAACCCATATGTAATAAAAAAAAAAGGGGGGAAGAAAAGTTGTTTGGTATTTTTGCTCAAGTAATCTTAGGATTTTATTATAAAGCACAATAACTGTACAGTGTTCAAGCTGAAATCTCCTTTCCTGGGCAAGGCTGAGTACCCCTTAAAGCTGATTTTGAGACGTACCTTGTAATCTTCTTGGCAAATCTGGTGGTGACATAGTGTGCTTTTAAAGGATGGCACAAAGGGTTAGAGAGAATTATTGCTTGTTTGGAAAAAAAAAAAAAGGGAGAAAAATCCCTAATTTCAGGATTAGGTTTTAGGATTGGCAGCTAAGCACAGGCACTCATTTTTTCCTTGTAATCTGAACAAGTAACTGTCAGACACAAAAATCATGGAAAAATAATCCCTCTTCTGTAGCACTTTTATAATGCTTTTCATTGCACCTGCACATCCAGCCGAAGTGAATTGGGAAGCTGTGTGTTAGCTGGGACAGTCACTATCTGTCCCCTCTGCAGGAGTCATGTTGCTTTGCTCCTTGAAGACAGAAAGGTAACTGCAGTATACTGCATAAAAGCTGCAGCTTTTCTCATGGATGATGCTACACATGAGCTACTGAAGGCCTCATTATCTGTGGTGAAGGACAGCCTGGCTTCTTGCTGCCCTAGAACAAGATTGGATGCAGAATTTAAGGAGAAACAGCTCTGTAGAGGCTAGATAATTTCATATTTTCTTGCTTTAACAAACGTTCAGCAGTCTGAGGACCAGGATCAAGGAGTATAAGCTGCTAGTTATATTTTGGCTCTTTTTTAAGAAAGCAAATGGTACACCCTCCAAAACCAGCACAAACGTGTACCAGCAGTGCAGTTGATATAAATCCAAATTCTTGACTGTACTTGAACAAAGTACTGACTGTTTGAAAACCTGTTTAACATCCCCTCTCAAATGGCAGTGTGCATTATTGTTATTCCATCTCTGAGATAAATACCCTGATTGTGATGAAGTTACTTTCATAATAAGGAGTCAGGATGTGATTATAACATAAATGATGTTTGTCTTGCCTTGATCCCTCTTGTTCCAGATAGTTTAGACTTGCCACACCTGTAATCACTGTAAATAGTTGCAGTCGTTGGAGCACGGTTGTATTTTTCTGGAGGAGGCTGGAAAAGTGTATTATAACCTGATGTACTCACTTCTTTTTATATGCATATGCCTGTGCAATTCCCAGCACAGAATTTGGCCCTTGTCGAAAATACCTTTTGGCATACATCAGTTATAACTAAGCCAGTAGAAACTTGCCCTTAGCTTTGACTGAACAGTAACTCAGTCTTGTCTGGACTCTGTTTTTGGTGAAGTGGCAGGAAAAATCTCAGTTCTTTTTTGAGCCAACTCATAAAAAAATGTTTCTTGCTTTAGCATGGTTTTTTAAAGGAAGCTGAGAAGTTTATACTAGATCAGTTATGGTTTTAGAGTAAGCTTACAAGTAAATAATAAATATTTGGTGAATGAAAGCATGTCCATAAATGTTACTATAAGGGTCTACGTACTTGGGAACCACAGTAGTGATGTAGCCAGAATAATAAAAAAGAAATTAATAAAACTTTTTCAAGTTTCTCTTTACTAAAAAAAAAAATCCAACTTTTTGAGTCAATGGTACCAAGCTTGTCAATTGCCAATCCATGACTTCATGATGTGAAAATGGAGCTCTTGAGACTGGATAGTTATCAGCAAAGACATTTGCATCCAGCAGTACTGTATATCTCATTTGTTAAAGCATTTCATCTGCCATGATCACACTGAAAACCCAAACTGGATTTTAAGATCTTTTCTTCCACTTAGCAGTTTACAAAGGCACACGGAACCCCTATATTTTGCCAGACAGGCTGTATTAGTAAACTAAATCAAGTTTCAATAGATTCAATAAACTAACCATACAGAAAAAAAAATAGGACCGTTATTTTTCAGTCAGTTTCCCAATGCATTTGTAAATATGGCACAAAGATACATAGTGCATGTTACGTGGTAATGTTTTGTTACATGGTCAATGGCATTTAAAGTGTGTGTTTTACAGATAGGATTACATATTTTAAGAAAGGAGTCTCAGATATTTTTGCAGGAAGCTAATTAGGCCATACTTATTATTTTGGCTTTGATTTACTGATTACAAAGATGACAAATTAATTTTACTTACTTCTTATCTGTATAGCAAGAAACACAGGTCTCTCATTTTTTCCTGCCAACTATTTATTCTTATCAGAACAGCTCCATCTATTGCAGTGAATGTTGACTGGGTAACTTCAACGTTCATGTCATATCCTCCCTGTTTTGCCCCACGATCACCTTTAGCCACTATTATGCTGCCAATCAGCAACTTATATTTTATCTTGTCCTTTGACACTTTCACTGAATCTATCACTTTGCTCGCTTTTTCTTGTAATGTTCTTCATCTCTGCTGAGTTTGATATCCAGTTGAAGATGGATGTTTGTGTGCCAAGAACAATTACATTCCTTTTATTTTTATTCCTTCAACAACTTTTCATTCTGTGTCTTTGCACTTTACTAATACTGTCTAGAAAGGGATCTGTGGCGAGCTCTACAACCCTGTGCATGTCAGTTCCTACCTGGAATCTTCATCCTTTTTCTCTCATGCAGTATGTGGTAACATTTTCTATGGCCTCCAGGTCTGCTCTTTCAGACTGCAGAACACAAAGTGCAGTGCCATCTTCTTATAAATGCAAAGAAGTTTTATTGTGTCAGTGGCAAATGAGGTTGCTCTCATTTCACAGCCAAGTAAAACTTACTGTGTTTGTTTTTATAACCAAAAAAACCAAACAAAAACCTTTGGGATTTTGTCTTGTTCTTTTCTCTCTCTCTAACGACTCCTCTTTTATTTATTTCTACCCACCTCTCCCACCCTTAAATCAGTTTTTCCTATGTTCCAGCACCCTCCTGGGTTGCTTTTCAACTTGCTGTTTATATCATGCCTGTATCTCTCCCTTTCATTTACATTTTTTTTCTCACATTGCCTGTATGGCAAAAATTGTCAGCAGCAGTTGATATGAAATAGAAATATAGGTCTGAACTTTGAAATTATTTAAATTGTCATTAGCCTATATGTTATCAGTATAATGCTGCAATTGTGCTGTATGAGGCTTGTTAGTACTGATAATGGTATATATGCTGTTGATAATAGTAACTTGCAAGCTGTGATTAGTTCCTTGGATCAGCAGTCATTCTAAGTGACATATTGAGGACTAGCTGTTTATGTGATACAAGATCTCATCTTTGAATCCATAGCTGAAATCAACTAAGTAAAGATAAAAAAAAAGATATATTTTAGTTCCTAATACTTTTCACTGTGAGAAGTTGCTCTCATTACTCTAAAAAGAGAGATGATTTGCATTATTATTATTATTATTGCAGTTTGGAAAGAAACAATCTGTGAGACAGTACATGTAGCCAAAACTTTGGATGAAAACCAAACCTTTCATCAAACTGTTTTGATATGATTATACACACATTATCACAGTGGACCGCTTAACAGTGTTTTGCATGCAGAAATTAATTTTATTTTGTTCCTGGTATATTTTCTAATATGGCATGCCACAAAGCACTGTTGTTAAACATTGTGCTGTGCACTGAAGGGTCCTATTTTGTGCCTTATATATAACTCTTAGCAGGTTACTTCCACCTTGTTTAGAGGTGCCCTCGTCTACAGGAGACTTGTGATCAGTGTGCTGAAAGGATATGCTACTGCTGACATTCAAGTTGAGCTGACCAAATCCCTTGAAAAGACTCTTTTCTTCTCAACACTGACTGCCAAAGTTTCATAGGAAAGAGTAGTAACTTGAGCAATGAACTATAAAACAAAGATGTGAAAAGGATATAAAGGACTTTCCTAGTAGACATGCAAGTAGGCACAATTTTTGCAGTTGTTAGTACAGAATGATGTGTCTTCAATCTGTGACACATGTAATGTTGGATGCATTTGTATTTGCTTCTGGAAAAAAAAAAAAATCTTCCTCTTCTGGGAAACTATTCATTCCAGAAAATGCAGAGGGTAATATTTATAGAAGGTGAGAAAATATTTTGGGTTCCATGAGGAGTGAATAATGCATGGTTCAGTCAAGTGTAAATGACTTAAAAGGAAAATATCTGTGAGAAGATAAGCTACCTGGTAAATTTTTTCCCATTAGGCAGTAAATCAGTAAGATACATGCCAAAGATAAACTTTCACTTCAGAATTATTCTAAATCAGTATTTTAAAAATTTGGCCTTGAGAATGTAGTTTATTTGATCTGTGCATATAGTTCTAGACCAGAGATAAAAAAAAATTGCTGTGAGTATTCCCTTAGCGGGCTGTCTTTGTTCTGTTTTACTTCTGTTTGAATACATTGTCATCACTCCAAATCTGGTGAAGTAATTTTTGAAATCTCGGTTTAGAATTACGTATTTTACAATTTCACGTATCATCATAAATCATTAACATTTGGGTTTGTATTTCATTGCAGCGGAAAACAGATGTGCCACTTCAAATGCAGTAACATGCACAAAGTGTCTTGCTTTGGGCCCTGAGTGTGGATGGTGTGCTCAAGAGGTATGTTATTTTGGTTACTTACATTTTACTTTATATTTTAGCTGCTTCTGATCTTTATAACAATAAAAACTTCTAAACTGAGAAAATTATAGTGAGAAATAGCAAGAAAATCTCTAAATGACCCCTAGAGACAGAACCTGAGAAATCATGTGAAATACATTTTGTTTCCAAAGGAGAAAATGCAATCTTTTATTTGGAAAATTGCAGTAATTTTAAATAAGTGAGAACTATTTAATGCATTCCATCTGCTTTGTATGCAACTCTTGCAGACTTAGAGTAGCTTTGAGAGTTCAACAGTTTTTGGCTTCAAAAGGAAAATTACTTATCAGTAATCTATAGTAAGTCCTCACTGTATATGAAAACAAGTCTATACATATATGTCTACTGCATTTAGCAAAAGGTCATACTAACAGTGGAGTTGACTTTGACTTCACCGTGTATTATGACCCTGTCACAAATGGAAAAAATGATGCTTTTCTTATTTTGACACTTGAAACTATCAGTTCTGAGACTTAGCACAGAAGATAGATCTTAGGTAGCAAGAATTATTCTGAAATTGTTGTTGCTTTGCAAACTGTAAGAATATGGAAATTTCTGGTATTGTTTGACAGAAAAAAATCCCCACTTGATAGCGTGATTCAGATAAGGCTGGACCATTTTAAGTACTTCAGAGGAGCAAGGTTTTGAAGAATATTACTGATAATTACAAGCTCCTATGCTCTTTAAGGTCACATGCAAAGTATTGGTAGTAGCTTTCAGGTTAGCAGAGAATGTAGATAAGTTCCTAGGGTGTGTCTGGAGGAGATAAGGAGTGTAAGGCATAAGGCACTGGGTAACTTTATCTGAGATATTGTGTCTTGGAACAATTAACTTAATCTGCAGCAGGTATAAGGATAAGTAATGCAAGGATAAGTGGAGGCACGAGGGCTTGTTTTCCAAGAGGAACCTTACGGCATGTGTAGATGGCACAATGGATCAATGTTGAGAGGTTCATTATTGTGGTCTCATGTTCTGTCTTACAAAGGGCTCAGTTTTATCCTCCTCACTCTGCATTTATCACAGAATAGCATTTGCTAATTTTCCAATGCTATGGAGCTGCAATAGGTCTCCTTCTAACTAGGTGCACAGATTTGACCAGGTTTCAATTCTGCTTCGCTTCTCTTGCATAACTTCTCAAGTCAATCCTGAGAGCTGTTCATGGAAGCCAGGGCTTTGTCGAAACCTCTTAGACAGCTGGTTCACCTACACAACATTCATGGTTGTGGAACGGCAAAACCCGTGTTAATGCAGATAGGAATATTCCAGAGTAACATTACAGAAGCAGTTTTCAGCTTAGCATGCTTGCTTCATCTGAACAATATTTTTAGTGAGAAAATAAGGCCCGAGTAACCCTTGAGAGGCGTTGAATTTATACCCACACACAGTGGACTTCAGAAAATGCTGCAAATCTATCGGCCATTACTGATAACCATGAGAGTAGCTAAATTCTTTACATATTTAAAAATCTAATTTTTTGAAATATATATGTCCAAAAGGGTATATAAATAGCAGTAACCTAAAAAAAATAGTCTGTTTTCTACAATAAAGAAGGTTATGGAAAAAATATGTCAGAGGTAGACTACAAAAATCAGCTGAAACTTGAAAAACAAGATACATGACTGTCAAATCTCATTCTTCAGGGGCTTCTTCTGATCTTTTCAGGGCCTGGATGACTATTTATTATCTACGTAGAATTGGCTGTAGGCATTTTCGTATTGTTTATTTTACCCATTTGCCTCTGAAATATCAGAGATTGTCCATTGTTTGGTCTCCAGCTGTGGCTCAGATGGACCAATACTTTGAAAGAATACAAAGGATCTTGTATATTTTTTTTTTCATGGTCAGAATCATATTAATCATCAGATTTGTGATCAGGAAGGAATTTTGTATTGGACCATTCTGGCACAATTTTGGCAACTGTTGTATTGCCCTGTCAATACAACAAAGGATGGGCTGCTTCTGAGATCATCCTACTACTAATCACTTTTCTGTTGCTACAAGGGCCTTTTGATATTGGTGGCATCTTAAACTGTCCAGTCCTGTAATACACGATTTCCTTTTTCTGGGAATTGAAATGATGTAGTCCAGCAGGTCTTTGGATTTTGTATAGTGTGATAGACAAACTCAGGTTAGCTAAATCTAAAGCTGGCTTCTGGTGCTACTAATAAATATTAGCCTGAGTAACATTACCAGTGGATTCCTCTGAAAACTAACCTGTTTTGATGTCACGGAAATGACACTTTCTAACTATAACAAATTCATAGGATGGCACAGAACATTTTTTAGAGACTTAGGGACAGTATGTAGTTTCCTTTTTCTCCGAAGTCGGCTTGTTCTGATTATGCAAGATCCTGTTTCTCTTAAAAAGTTTTGTCTTTTGTAGAAAAAAGTTATTGTGGCAATTAGGTTTAACTTCTAATTTAAATATGTCATCATTGCCCTTATTAAAAACATATGGCTTCATGAACTTGTTCTACACTTTTTGCAATTATAGTAGCATATTTTATTGTTTCAAAGACTATTATTTTGTTTTTCTCTTTCCTTTGAAGATATTACAGGGTTTTCTTCAGCTCGGACTGTTTAGTACTTTTTGTCTCTTATTAAACAGGATTTCATGGCTGGCACAACACAGAAGGGACGCTGTGACATTGTTTTCAACTTAATGAAAAGAGGCTGCCGATCAGATTTGGTTGAAAACCCCACAGTTCATGTCACAATACCCAGTGACCATGAAACAAATACACAAGTGACACCAGGAAAAGTTTCAGTCCAGCTGCATCCAGGTTGGGTCGTCTCTAACACATTGATATTATAGTAAATTTAGACTAAATAAAATATTTTTAAGTACAGGTATTTTGTGAAGAAGCATCACAAATAGTTATTTTGAAGAATGGTGCTATAACAATATATTGTAGGACTGTGATGGTGTTGTTCCTATATTAAGTATGGTCTTCAGCAAGAACTGTTTCTTTTAAACATAGCTGAAGGTCAGAATAATGCAGTAAGTGGAGAAAGGATTTTAGTAGTCTTTTCTGATGTAGTTTCTTGATTCTTTTTCTTTAGCCACTTACACAAACAGTTTTCCCTTACATGTGTATAAACTACTCCTTACGGAAAATAAATTGAGTTACAATTCCTAAATTCATAATTTGATCAACTTCTTGATTATTTGGTTATTTTTAAGTTCATTGACTAGACAACTACAGAGACACCACCGCCATTATATAAGAAAGGACTTCTTAAAGTCCTTCAAAGGAAGACTTTGGTATTCACAACATAACATTTAATTTATAGAATTTGAGACACTTGGCCCTAATAGAAGTTCCTTTGTGAATCTGAGATTTTCTAGTAAACCTCTATTTACTCTCAGCTGAACTCTAGTTAAGTCAGTGTATGTTCTCTCTCTAAAATAGCTGTAGCCAACAGCAGAAGTGGAAGATGATATAAAGGGATGCAGAGTTATCTTTCATATCAAATTTTTTTACAGACAATAATTGGGGAAAAATAGTTAAGAGGAATAAGTCTTTGGTAGGAAAACATTAAGTGATCAGAAGTATCTTGATGATCTTCACTGATAATTTTGTCAGTGATAAAAGAAGACAATTTTCTGTCAACTAAAAGGGAAAAAGGATCTGCATGAGTGTAAAGCACAAAGGAACTCTGGTTTTCAATCTTTATAATAATAAAACTGACAAAGTAACATCAGCACTTTCTCGCCTTTCCCCACTGTCCTTCCAAAGAAGTGATTGATACTCTGCTTCTTACTGACAAATGATCTCAGACACTGAGCTAGCTCTAGCTCTGTCTGTAATCACATTTATTTCCAAAGGCACAGTGGATTCATAGAAAAAAAAATTGCTTTCTAAAATTTGGTTTCATTAACCTTTTTGCAAGTAAATATTGAAACTAAGTTTGGGGTTCTATATGCTTTGCAGAAGTTCTTACATCAGGGAGGCAGAAGACTGAAATTCCAAGGGCTCCAGAAGAATAGCTTTTTATATATAGATATCTTGGCCATATTTTCTACCCCAGGGAAATACACAGATATACAGCTATAGTTTTACCTCAAAACAGACATTTGATACAGTATAATCATGCAGACAAAGATGTTTTTGTTTTGATACTGTTTGAGGTTGTTTTGTCACTGTTTGCATATGCCCAACATTCAGGATTTATGTGGGAAAAAATAAAAGCTGCATTCAGTATCTCACTATGTACAAACTGGAGACTTGCAAGAGTAATTTACAAAAAGTAATTCAATTTACTTTGGCAAAGAGGAAATACGTTAGTTACAGCACACTAAAATTGTTTTCCTCACTCAAGACCTGATACAGACAAAGCCTCACATTTTCAGGTGGATTGTGTTCAAAGACCATTGAAAGAAATTGCTTTGTATATTGGAAGAAATTACTTTGTAAAGATCTGGGTCAGATCTTTGTTACATGTACTCTTTGATAGTTTTTTATTCAACACCTGCATAGTTCTATAACATATTCCTTCCTCCTACCCTTTGCTATATTTCATAGCATAATACTGAAATTAGATTCTGCACTCATCACACGAAGATCCTAAACTATTTCTTTTGTGAGCTCACACTTTAGGTGACATAAAATAATGACCAATTTGAAGTCTGCATTACTGTACCTACTCTGCCTATATTCCAGTCACTTCACTCTTCTTGCTGACATTACAGAATATTAGACAAGCAAAAATGTGAGGACTAGTTTTAGCAGCTTCCAAAACATTAATGTTTTTATTACGTATGAGAATGTGATGTGGTTCTGCAGGAGAGACAGACATTTATAATCCTCAAATTAGAGTTCTGTTTTGTATATGCCAAGAGATGGAATTCTTTTCATATTAAAACCTATTTTTTTAAAAAAATCTTTTGATCATACTGAATTTTCTCCTCAGATCTTTGGAAGTACATTGTGATAAACTTGAAACATTATTTACATGAGTTTTTCAGGCTGCGCTGTCTTTATGGTTCACATATAGTTTTAGATTCTGTCATATGACAAACTATTTGCAGGATACACGTACATACTTTGAAGTGTCAACCTTGAAGTGACTGACCCCAATTTGTATGCAGATCTGTGTTCTTTGTGAGCCATAACTGCATTTTGGTATAATGCCAAAGGGATTGCATAACCATGAATTTAAAAGATAATGGGGAGAAGTCAGATTTTTACAATAAACCACACAGTGCTCCTGCAAGAAATAAAAACAAGATGTTCTACAAAACACCACTTTTTGGCTTATTTTTGAATGATTCTTCAAGGTTCCATTTACTCTTGGGAGAGATTCTTGTTTGTTTGTTCTTCTATTTGCTGACACAAACAACTTTGTGCTGAGTTTGCTACAAACATAAATTTATTTTTAATCATGTCCATTCAAAAATAGTAAATAAACTTTTTTTTTTTTAATCAGGAAGTGAAGCAAACTTTATGTTAAAAGTTCGTCCTCTAGAGAAATACCCTGTGGATCTTTATTATTTAGTTGATGTCTCAGCCTCCATGCACAACAATATAGAAAAGTTAAATTCTGTTGGATTTGCTTTATCTAAAAAGATGGCAAATATTTCTCTTGATTTTCGACTTGGATTTGGATCCTATGTGGATAAAACTGTGTCACCTTATATTAGCATTCATCCAGGTAGAATCCATAACCAATGCAGGTATGTAGTATTTTTATATTTACTGTAGCACTGAGATGTTATTTAATTGCATAAAATACATTATGCATATTTATTTTTAAAGTTCTGTCTTTGTTTCCTTATACATATGGTTCTTTGACAAAGTTCCTAAGGAAATGCTAAAAATTATTATACAATGATTACTTCTGAAATACCTGGCGAGTGATTTGAGAAAACTGTTTCTGTATCAGAAAAAATGTTCTGTGTTTTCTTTAGCAAAATAAGCCAAAAAACATGCTGCTTTGGAATATTTGAATATGTTTTGCATTTTATTTTAAAGTCAACTGTTGTGGTTTTGGTTATTTTGGATATATGTTGCCTAGATTCATCACAAAGGTTCCTGCTTTCTGACCTATGTACCTTCTGGTGTATGGTCATGTATTCATTAACTCTTTTCTTAAAACTACTTTTGTTAACATGGTGTGGTTACTTTCAGCTCATTTAATGAACAAAAGTGATCCTTTGATCTAATTCCACAGTTGGTACATCAATGCACTCCCATTTTAAATAGAAAGATGTTCTGGCCTGCATTTCTTTTTTCATGACATGCCTTATATACCTTTGTTCAACACTTATATAAAGTAAGGGATCGCTTCCAAAACACCCTGGAGTCCAAGATTATTCACAACAAATTCAAAGCTGTGTAAACCATAATACTTGGAAAAGTGAATATTAATTCTTCATACTTTCTTGCTTGTTACTATCCTTCCTGGGAAGACATGATCCAAAGTTCTCTGAAGTACCTTTTTTGAATTCAGTGGTTTTTGAATTGGGTACTAGTAGTAGAAGTCATTCAATAGATATGTATATTTATGTAAAAGCAGTCCTCTAGACCATCTATACATGGAGATGGATTAGCATTTCAAGGTCATGATTCATTTTGCCTAAAAGTAGACATCTCCAGAGGTATTAATCCTTACAATGCCAGTTTCTCTTCATTGACTGCAAATTGAGTTGGAGGAGGGCAGGTTACAGACTGGTTGCCTACACTGTAGGCAGCAGAAGTTAAGAGAGTTGAAACCTGCTCAGCACCTCTGAATCAGATGAGCACTTCAACTTGTGCCATAAATCACTGCCATAAATGGGTCCCAGATCAATGACATGTCTGAGTACTGTGACACTGGCTTACTTATGTGAGACATCATACTTTCTCCCTTATGCATAGTTTGAAAAAGTTTCATTTACAACTATGATGTTACTGAAAATGGAGTTTTGCTTCTCCTTAATGAGGTAACTGTTACTAATATCAACATTAATTTTATGTACATTTACTTACTATTAGTGGATGTAGGAACTTCAATTTTATTATAGTTTGATCCAGTAGCCTATGTACATTAATTTTATGTACATTTGCTTACTATTAGTGGATGTAGGAACTTCAATTTTGTTGTAGTTTGATCCAGTAGCCTATGTATGAAGCTATTAAAGGATCTTAATGTTGTGGTGTGATAGTCCTTTCTCAGGATAATGAAAAGCAAAGGTGTACCACTGCAGATATTCCAAAATATACTCCCTGAGATCATACTATCGCTCTTGTTGCGTTTCTTTTTGTTCTCTACAGAAACACTCTATGTATACTGTTACTATATTAACTGTTATATTACATAAAATTCCATAAAATAAAAAAAAAAAACATTTTTGTAGTAAATTAAAACTAATTTCCACTAAACTTAATCTTACATGCAGTTATTCTTTTTTTAAGTATTCCTTATCCAGTGCATATTTACATCTTCATTAATATCAGGATTTTATGAGTTAATGAAGATGCAATATTTTCATCTCTTTCAAATGGAAAATAAAGAATGTGTTAGACTTTTGATTTGTTTTGTTTCTATACAGTGATTACAATTTAGATTGTATGCCTCCTCACGGTTATATTCATGTGCTATCCCTGACTGACAATATAGCAGAATTCAGAAATGCAGTGAATAAACAAAAAATTTCTGGGAATATTGATACACCTGAAGGGGGTTTTGATGCAATGCTCCAAGCAGCTGTATGCCAGGTAAGGAGCTTATTTACAAAAACCTAAATAAATAGTAGTTCAGGCAATATACATGCATATATATATATATATACATATATATATATATATATACACACACATATAGGTACAATGGTGCTCAGTGTTCCTGAATTCAAAATGTCAGTTCTATGCCTAATGATACTAAGATTTCTTCCTCCTTTTCCTTATTTCCCCCTTAGTTATAAATTTCCCATTGAAACTGACAAAGAAGCGCATAAGGGAACATGTTTCAGTGTTAATGATCTTCAAATTCTGGCTTTAACCAGCCAACATGGGATGGAGGATGAAAGCAACTGCTTCTTGCTTGAACAGATACTTGTATTAATTTCACTCAATTACATAATTCATTTCAAAAATCATTGAAGTGCTCCTTGTGTTCCTAAATGAAGACATACCATTTGACATTTCTTCTGCTTAAGAATGTACTTGAGAACTGAAGGACAGCTACACATCTTCCTGTAAGAACAGAACTTCGATGTTATCTCAGCTTTTAAAGATTTTTTTTATTTTAAAACAATACAAATCAGCTAAAAATTAACTTCTATATATTGATAAAATTTCATCACAGTTTCTCCCATGCAGAAAAGGACAGAAAAGATCTGCATCAGTAGTTCCCAAGCTATAAGCATACTAGATAAAGGGAGTTTGGTTTGCTCTAGAGAGCCATTTTGGATGTTGGTTTTTTTCTATTTCATAGTAATGCAATAGCAATTTTGAAAGTTGGCTGGTAATGCTCTATATGATACTCTTTCGGTCCTCCTAAAGTAATCCAACTCCTGTTCAAATCACAGGCTTGCCATCTTTCTCATCTCTTGGAGTGTTGTCTGGACAATTCTTTTACCTTGTCCATCTTCACATCATTTTTTTTTTGGAGCAGGACAATGACTCAAGTACAAAAAGTAATCCAAGCTAAGCTAAAGATGAATAGTTGGTCCAATTTTTTTTTCAGATTTTGATGAACTGTAAAGCAGGTAAATAAAAGCCACTTCTCATAGACACTGTGATCCCAGCTGCTTCAAAAAATTACTGTGTAGCTTTAAAAAAATTCCTTAAAATCCAGTATTTCCCATTGGTCACATTCCACACTTATGACATGTGAATTCTAGAATAATGTATGCTTCTGAAAACAATAGAATGGAAACATTCATGAGAATAGGAAGGCTTTCCTGCTAACTGGATTGTGCAGCAAAATGGATGAGAACAATGTGCAATTCATAATGACCATCATGAACTATAAATTATGTTAATGTGCATTCATTTTGCCTACAATAGAGCTTTATAACTTGCTCCATCTTGCTTTAACCAATATATCCCCTGTTACAAGAAGTGGCAGGTTAGGGTATGAAGCTACTTTAAAATTTTGATTGCTGTGACATATGTAGATAGGAGTCACAGAATCGCAGAATGTCTCAAGTCAGAAGAGACCTCTAAGGATAGAGTCCAGTTCCCTCCTCCTCACAGGACTACTGAAAACTAAACAAGTCTCAAGGTAACAAAGTCAAATGGTAGAGTCTTAGGAGCAAGAAGTTTCTACAGTGCTGGGGGAGAATTTGGAATTATTTAAGATAAAACCTGTTTATAAATAAAATTTAAAATACCCTTTCTTTAGATGAATGCTCTCTAGGAGTGGCTGAGGGAGGCTGATGCCTACCCCATAAGGTGGAAAAGACACCACACTCCTCTGTACTTGTTATCCTTTCTTGTATGAAATATTTGATCCCCATTCAGAGCTAGGAGGGAATGAGCCTGAGAAGGGACCTAAATCACTCTCTGCAAAGCAAAGAAAGGAAGGTAGAGAATAAGTCATGAAACATGGCTGGCAGATAAACATTTCATGTGAGATGGAAGACAATTGGAAGTGCTAAAGGAAATGGTAGAGATGAGATAGTGTTATAGGAAGGAGGAAAAAGGAAGGAGGAAAGGCAGGAAAAATGTAAGTAGTGAAGAATGTAAGATGGAATAACTGAGAGAGGGAATAATGAAAAAGCATATTGAGTGTTTCATGTGTGCCTCAGAAGTTTGATTATAAGCAGGGAGATAAATATTTTGGAAATACCGATATGGCAGCTAAATCAGTTTACACTTACTCTGCTACATCCTTCACATCACTGAATTTCTGAAAGACATTAAATTCACACTTGAGGATGCAACTTTACTATTAATCCCTCAAGACAGTGGACAAATGTAGTATTTTGCTGCATAATAAGGAATTTCTCAATTTGCAGGTGCATGAAGACATTCAAACTTCAGTTTATTGATTTTTAATCATATGCTAATGTCCTGTCTGGAAATTTATGTAGGAAAAGGAAATTACAGAGTGGTAAGAATATAAAGTATATAAGTGCAAAGTAAAAATAGGAGAGGGCATCAAGTATCAATAAGTACGAATGCAGATTTGCTGGTTGTAATGCTTTCTTGGATCCCAGAGAATTTTACAAATGCTATACATTTGCATTTGTATGTAATAGTAACCCACACAATGTGGCAGCTCTTACCGACGCCCACTATATAATGCATAACTTGTATGTATTTTGGGAGCTCTTTCTTTAAAAAGCAAAGAAAGTCATAAGTGGGAAAAAACAAAGTGGTAAGTGGATCTCTGACTGGCAGTGGAAGTTTTCAGATGTAGAACATTATACCTATTTCCACAAAAAATGTTTTCCATAGCCTAGTTTAAACTCAGTGCCGCTAAGCAGTGTAATATCTGAAAGTAGACTTTCACATTAATTTTTCATTTTGTTATTGATTATTTTAGAAATAAATATGCTTTCTTATGCCTAATTTTTTTCTTTTTAGAGCCATATTGGATGGCGTAAAGAAGCAAAGCGACTGCTTCTTGTGATGACAGACCAAACTTCCCATCTGGCCCTTGATAGTAAATTAGCAGGAATTGTAATTCCTCATGATGGAAACTGTCATTTGAAAGATAATGTGTACGTCAAAGCTACGAGTATGGTAAGGTATATGCTATAGATTTTACCTTAAGGGAAGCAGTGTAAAACTGTGTAAAGGAGGTTTTTTAGACTGCTGTTAAAGCATTGCTTTTATTTCAGTCATTAGAATAATATTTTTCCAGGTAGACAAGTTTTGAATTGAAGAATCAATCACCTGGAAATATTGACATTCTTTTTGTCTGGGATAAAATATTTTGGAGTCTGAGACAACAGTACAGTGGAGGAGGATATGTGACTGATTTTGGTGTGTTTTTTTATTAACATCTCATAAAAATCACACATTTTATATACAATAAGGGTAAGAAGTGTCTGGTGTGATATTTTGCACAAATAGAAGCTGGTAATATGTAAGAATTGCACAGTTGTGCTAGTTACACAGAGGTAGTGCTTATGGTTTATGGTCAGAAGATGCAGAGTTGTATTGGTTGAAAAGGTTTGGTAAAGCAGGGGACATAGTACAGCAATGAGCTACTTCAACCATGATGGACTAGCATTAAATGCATTTATATTTCACAGTATAAAGCCAATGTGGAGTAATACATACCTGTGCAAAAAGTTATATCAAATCTGCTGTAACAAAATAATATGCCTTCAACAAATATTTTTAGCTTTCAAAATATTGTTTTCAATAATCTATAAAGTAGTTGCAAATGACTGAAGACAGGAATTTTTGCCTAAGAATTATAGGTTTCAATTGCTCTGGTTATTTTCTTAAATAAATATTAATTGTTTCTTTTAGAAACGTGAATCACTACTGAATTGCCATTTAATTCCCAGATAGCAGAAATATGAACTGTGGTATAATTAGAGCATCCTACAATCTTTTTTCTTGGTGCTAACTGCACTTAGTTGAAGTATAGAGCCTACATTCAGCTGCAGCCAGCAATGTGCTAGTGAGGTCAGTGAGGGCTATGTGTGAGTCTAGACCTGAATTTAATCCCAGCAACTGTTGTTTACAAGGGTGATGGGGCAGCAGGAAGAGGCTGCTGAATGTTGTGTGATCATGAAATATGGGAGGCTTCTGGGAATTGGTGGGTGTTTGGGACCTTACTGAGCGGAGGAGGGAGATGAGCGTGTGCTAACGGGAAGGTTGTTTGGATTTCCGATTATCTGACATTCTTGCGTCCATATTCTCTCACTGATGTCAGGATTTTTTATTTCACTCTAGTCAGTCTGTTCAGTGTCCTTGGGATAGAAACAAACCCTTCCCTTATTCTACTTAAAGCAAATAATCCCAAAACTTTCCTTTCCAAGAGCAGAGCATACTCTGTTTTTCTTTTTTTTTTTTTTCCTCCTAGTTGCTGGGCTATAAATGAGAGTAATTTTACTCTGCTTATTAAAAAATTGCTAAAGGTACAAATCTTTTTGTGATGTTCAGCATTCCTTTGGTAATAAAGACATTATCTGTTTGAGAAAAAAAAAAACACACTATTTTTATTTTCTGTCGAACTTCGGAAATGAATTTCCGTTACAACTGGAGAAACTCACTAGGGTAAAATACAGACAACATTAATGAACCTTTATCTAAGAAGCTGTGATAGATTGATGGCTGATTGAAAAAAAAGGTGTTTTACTGATATTCTAGATTCTGGTTTGAAAGATCATGATTTTATAATCCCACGTGGAATAAGAAATCTCCATGATTACTGGTATTGATACATTTTATGAAATATGATTTTTTATGTAGCCCCCCAAATTAAATGACCTTGGAAGATGTTTAGATCTGTAGTGGCACATTTAGACCCATGTATTTTCTGGCTGATAACCTTTTTTTTCTTCCAATATGGGCTAATTCTTGCATGCTCACATGTGGGCATGCACTGATTAATAGAAAAGGGTTATAATGGAAATCTTTCTCAGCACTGCATATTTTCTGGAGTAGATTTGATATGGTAACACAGTAGTGTCTGTAAGGGAAGGTGTACTGTTTTCCTACTTTTTTTTCTTCTCGTCTGTAGTATATGTGACTATTTTATTTATAGATATCCATACAGAAGCTTCAAATGAACAAATAAATTGGGGGGGAACGCTATTTGGTATTTAAATGAAATATCATGAAAGTCTGTCAGCCTTTTAGAAAATACATAATATGAAATATATTTTTGGGGTTTTTTCCTTATCAATACAATTTTGTTGGGCTATCGTAAATTAAAGAGGCTTCTCTAATCATTATTTTCATGCTTTGATTCTTAGCTTTTTGTAGTCATCAGAAGATAGCATTTTGGCACATTTTATTTCTTCCTTGTGCCAGTTTAGAAGACTGCTTTATTTATTTCCATAAGCTTAGCCTTTACATCAGAAATGTTTCCACTTAGTCACTTTTCTGCATGTTTCTTTCTAATCTTTTGCTAAGCAGTCACAGAGAGGTCAGCAAAAAAAGCATAAGACAGGAAAGAAAGCTATTCCATTTTAATTAGATCTGTGCTTGGTTAACTCCCTGTCTGAAATACTTCACATCTACATTAGCTATCTTCTCAGTTTAACACCGTAGGTTAAAATAATAAAATGAATGATGTAATTGAAACAAGAAAGATGATCTAAAATGAAAGTACGTGCATCTGAGCAGTAGTGGGAAGAATAAGATAAAAATATGTAAAGTATAGCAAGGTTTTCACAGCAAATAAAATGAGGATCCATGAGTGACCTCTGGTACCTTATGTCACCTCTTTACATGCTTAAAATCGAAAAGATAGTATGGGTCTGTTGATGCTTTGGGGTTTTTTTTAACTCCCCTCTAATAAAAGGAAACTATTGCTTTCTTATCCGAAGTGTGACTTTAACATACTACTTGCCAAGCTGGACAGTCTGGCGAGTTAGAACTCATGAGTAGATGAAAGTTCAGCTGTACATGGGAGCAGACTAGGTAATCTGAGGATCTGGTCCCTGCAGCTCTTGCACATCTATGGATGTCATCTCTTGACTTCAGTAAGGTCCATTTGAATAGGTTTTTGTTTCATGAAGGCTTACAAAACCACTTCTGATACCAGTGATTCCAGAATTCTGCTACTAGCTGCAGAGATGTTGAGGGGCCTCTGCTGGAGTTCATACAGGTCTAGTGTCATGTGTCAAGCAGGAAGACTGACTTATTTTGCCACCATCTATGATCCCTCAATACTGTTCCTGTCATTCACACATTTACAGCGGGAGGTAAATGTGCATACAAAGGACAGAGCTGTCAGTTGTAAGTGAGATAACTATGGAATACTGACAGTGCTAGAACCGGACCCCGTGGCTGCATTTAGCTGATGTGTATGATCTCTGGTGCCAAAATCCAGTTCTGAGAAAAAAACTTTTTTTAATTACTCTCCTTGCTGTTCCCAAAAGTACACCTCATCTCAGTCCTTCATGTTGTATTTTCTCCCTGACTTTTGCTTGAGAACCCATCTGTCATTCCTAGGAATCTTGTTAATCTTCTAGATGGACCATGGACAATCTGTATTTCTTAAGCATCAGACTCAAACTAACAAAATAATACTGTGTAAGTTAGTCCTCCCACTATGCAGCAGACCTGCATAGTTGGTGACAGATAAGCCTGGCTGATGCCCTGATGATTTTTTTTTATTGTTTATTCGGATGGGACCACCTTGTTTTGAATGTAGGTCTAGCATTTCTCTGTACATTTAGGAGTTAAGATTGGGGTGGTTTTGGAACCCTGTAATGTGTCATGTGAAATATAAGGTTTTCCCCTACTAATATGCAGTCTTCTCTTTTCTCTTGTATGTTGCAGGAGCATCCGTCTCTTGGGCAGCTCTCTGAAAAATTGATTGACAATAACATCAATGTTATTTTTGCAGTTCAAGGAAGCCAGTTTCATTGGTATAAAGTAGGTTAGAAACCTGATTTCTTTTTCTAATTTTGAAAGCACAATATTTATACTAAAAATTAAAACCATGCATAAATGATTGTATTTTTCATAGGATCTGTTACCTCTGCTGCCTGGTACTGTTGCAAGACAAATAGAATCACAAGCAGCAAATCTCAATGACTTGGTGGTAGAAGCCTATCAGGTATGACGACAGTGACAATGGTGTATGCCATATTTGTACAGACATTTTTCACCTTTCATAGCCTGAATCTTCAATTTCCAGGCTCTTGGTTTCCATCCAAAGTCCACGAGGATACATTCCCTACTTTTCTTAGTGTCCAAGTTGATAGGTGGCATTATCTCACCATAGCTCTCAAATTCCCCAGCTGTTGGAGTCTCAAAGCCAAGAGCTAGTGCTTTTTTCTTTCTAAGGGTGCTTCTAAATATTCTGTTTGATTCTCTGCACCTGTTGCTATGTAACTTCAAAAGAAATGTCTGATTTATTTGAATTTTGGCACCCTAGATCTTCAGTTACAGACCAGACACCACTGTCTAGGCACCATATAAATTCAGAGCAAAACCACAGTGCAGTATCTGGAGGGTTTTGCAGAATAATCTTTAAAAAGCAGACAACAGATGGGAATTTACGAGAAGGTAGTTTGGCAACAGTGGATATTGTGAAAAGCAATATTTACACTGCACAAAGCAGTGTAATGACTTGGCATTTTGAGGCATGGCATTGAAGAAGAGTTTTGATAGGGATTTGAGAGAGAACAATGGGCATTGCTTTGTGAACTTGCTTGGAGTACTCAATTGAAAATAACTGTTTGGGAAAGAGAAAGTAATAGTATGGGAAAGAGCATAAAGTCATTTTCCACAAATGGTTGACAGAGAATGGCAGTTTGAAAGAAGAAATAGGCATCTTGATAGTGAAGGAAAGAGGAGGCATAAACAGCTTTGAAAATGACGCCAAGTGCTATACATTTGATGTACTGGAGCACAGGGAGCCCACAGAGCAATATCAAAATGATCATCATGATGGTTTAGATGGTTGAATGCTGTTAAGTAGTGCAGTTGCACAAACATGCAGGTTCAAAAAGTTAAAACTCAGCTGCAAAACTATATGCAGTGTATCCTCATGTCACTTTTTTTTTTTAATTAGTCGAATTTGGAAGGCTGAAATTATCCATTTTACTCAGTTAATCATCAAAATCAGGCAGTTTGCTTTCAGCAAATGGGTTATAATGAAGAGCCAGCCCCCATGTCTGTTCCTAGTCAACAGAGTGCTTTTGCACACGTTTTTCTCACTGTCATGCTGGAAAGGCAGAAGGCAAAGACATTCAAAAGCAGAGGAGATTAGGTGTAGTCAAATTGCCGAGATGTTCTCACTGATATTGTGCTTCCTCTTATAAGGTCAAGAAATCTCATGTTAAATATGGAGGTTTGCAGGAAGTTGCTGGCAAAAAAATCTGAAGATTTTAGTCCTTTTGTATGGCACTTTTACACTGTCCATCCTAAATTGCAACACAGTTCTTACTCGGTGCAAGGCAAACATTCAAGGAGAGGAAATAAAAATTTACAAAATAGCAATTTAGTTCAATAGGACTTCAGTGGGACTTTCCTGGTTCAACCTCTCCCAGTTTGCTCTTGCCTTACTTTCATTTTTTAGACAGTGTCTTCCTTCTCATCCTAAACTTCATTGTATTTGACAGTTTGAGAATTTTATCATAGTTTTAGGGGCTTGTAATATACAAATGCATTGTGAACAGGACTTGAATGTATTGCTTTTTTGAAAGAAAAAGGACTTAGATAAGAAAATAAATTTAGTGTTGATATTCGATGGCAGTGGGCCTCCTGTACTCTTTTTCTAGGCAGGGAAACCTTAGGCTTAGTTATGGAAAACCCTTGCTGAAAATCCCTGACTATAAGGCCAAAGATGAGTCACTAATTTTCAAAAAGTTACTAAGATAAACATGTTCAGATTAATGTAATTACATTTCCATTTATAGCAGTAAAAATATCACATAAACTAATTTTTTAAGAGTAATATGGCACAAATTTAAAAAATCTCTTTGTGCAATTTTCAGCTCATAAGTTTGTAAGAGCTGTAATAAATTTTTAAAAGGTCAAGAAACAATACTCCTTCTTGGAAGGAAGCAGGATTTTAGAGCATGTAGTAAATGCAAGATACAAAGTAGGTGGCTTTTTCATTATCTTTTATTGCAAAATGCCCTAATGGGAATCACCCAGTTGTTGACTTATGTGGTCTTAGCTGACCCAAATAAATCAGTAAGAATAATCCCAGTAGCCTTTAGATCACTGTAAGGTTTGTTCAGAGAAAGCTTTTCCAAGACAGATGCAAAATATCAGAAGTTTATAAAGTCGTGTCACATCAATTAGGAACCTCTTCGTTTGGGTAACAATAGTTGTATGTATGTTTACAGTTGTATTTTAGATGTATGGCTAAAAGTCAGTGTAGACTCACACAACAAGCAGTTTTTGTTGCACACAGTTGTTAGAATAGATTTTCAAATTGAGAAAAATACAGTCGCAAAACCATTTTAGAAAAGCTGAAAACATTTTTATCTGCAAAACCTAATCCTCTTTATCAGAATTGCCAGTTCACTGGTTGTGTATATTTGGAATGTAATCGGGTCTTTATACAGGAAACAATGCTTTAATTCATTCCTTTATTCACACAGACAAGCTTTCTTCATTTTTAGTCAGACATAGTAGCCATACTTGGTGGTAGTCACTAATGTACATTATATTTTGAGATGCAATGTGACTAAAACTTGTTTTCTGGTTACAGAAACTAATTTCTGAAGTGAAACTTCAAGTGGATAACCAAATCCAAGGTCTTAATTTCAATATCACTGCAATCTGTCCTGATGGAAGTGAAAAAACAGGCATGGAAGGATGTAAAAATGTGGGATATAATAAAGAAGTATGTTGATAGTTTTCATTCTTCAAGGAACTGGAATACTTATTTTTCTGTTTGGTTGGGTTTCAATGGTGTGAAATCTTCTAGGGATTTACTTAAACTGAAAATGGATTTATGTGATTAATGATCACAGACTCTCTATTATTCTCTGGGTTTATTTGTCCTGAATCTTATTTTAATTCTCACTAATCCCATGGAACTAAGGCTCAAAGCTTTTCTTGAAAGCTAACGTCCGTTAAAACTCTCCTTCTTTGTCCTCCACTGGGCACAACCAACCATGGTCATTGTGGTGAAATCTGTACGTAAAGAGGTTGAAAGATAATCACCCGGTGAAAAAGAATCACTGGAATTTGTGTTCCTTGGGTCTGTACTAGACACAAGCTTTCTCTCTTCTTGCTTTAGTAGTCTTCAGGCACGATCAAGGTTGTGGATAATTAGTTTATTTTATAAATTAAATTAATAAAATTTTTATTCCCATTTGGATTGGTGCCACCTACTGAGTGAAACGGAGCATCATGCACCATGAAAATGCAGGGGAAGATGTCTGGCTAATGTAAAGAACATGGTTTTCTTCCCAGGAAAACTTCTCTGTGCCTCGACGTATTTATTTAATTGCTTGGACCACTGGAGTAATTCCTTTAGCTTGCCAGGAAAAGGTCTCTGTTTTCTGGAGGGCAGGGTCAAGGAGTTCTTTCCTGCTTGACGTGTACATATGTCTCAGCTGGTGTGATTGTACTTACATCTGTGTGTAGAAATAGAAAAACAATTCAGTAGCTGAAATGTGTGAATTGTAATGTATATTTTAATGTATTTTATGCTCTTCTGAATTTTGTCTGCATGCTGCTGATTAGCTTCTACAGCTTATGGGAGATTTGCTATGTTTTTCTGCTTAAGTCATCTTTTCTCCAGTGTTGTTCCCTGTGCATGTCATAAGAAATAGGACTGGAATTTGTTCTGTTTAATGAAAAGAAAAATATTTATATCTGTTTCTTTTTAATAAAAAGCCAAGCCAGTTGATTGTAAAAGATTGCATGTGGTCCTAAACCTCTACTGCTGTTGAAAATGAACCATCCTTAAGAGATTAATTTATTTTTACCATAAATCCTTCTTTCAGTATTTGTTTACAGGCAAAATGCTTTTCCTTAATTCTCACATTCCTCTCATTGTCTAATCCTTCTTCCTTCCCTTTCTTACCAAAACACAAAGTGTATTATATTCTGGAATAATCACGTGGCCTCTTCGGGATGCAAAACTAACCTTGGCTATTAGTGAGTGTCAGTGTTCATGATGTTGTAATTATTTAGTCTCAACAGGTATAATCTTTCTAGTGCTCTGTTCAGACTCGTCATATTTCACTACTAATATGCAAGACAGGATTTGCCCTTCCCTCCCATCTCCCTGCCATTCCTCCAGTACTGTGTTGAACGTGAAGCTGATGTTTTCTAGCAGGGCGCTGTGTTGAATAAAAAACATTCCCTAGCTGCATCCTGTCCTCCCTGTGTGATACGCACCTGCTGTATGAATTATCTTCTCCATAGCCACACTTTTGTCCTGTAACCGAAGGGAAGAAATCCCATGCATGGAGAGCGTAGGCAACTGAGGGGGGTTATGTGTGTAGTGGTGCATTTGAGAAACAAGAAGAAAAGCAAAGGGTGAGATAAAGCCTGTGTGCCCCCTCGATATGACATTAAGTGCATGCTTCTGCACAGCATTCTTCTCCTGTTGTCCGTGTAGGCAGCCGCAGCCCCACTCGCCACAAAGCCACCATTGTCCTCAGGGACTCGGCTGTTCTCGTGTGGGGGCGCAGTGGGAGGGAGAGACAGTGACGAGAGATGAATGGCCTTAGTCTTTGCGGGTAGTTTCAACCTCGTATTTAATCAGTTTCTCAGGGTTTCTCTTTTTTTTATTTGGAAATTTTTGGTGGCAAAGAGTAGAGATATTTGCTTCTCTTGGGTTACTTTTTTACCTCTTCTTCTTGGTTATATTTTCTCTGTGACGAGGCAAGAAAGAGTTGTTTTCCATCAGTAGGCTGAACAAATTTATAACCTTAGAGAGAATACCATGTCATAGGCCTACTGGTCAAAAACCAAAAAACAATTGTGAAATAGAAGATTGGTATACAGTGGAAGTATCACATATGTCAGAGCTGTCAAAGAGTTTTGGTGGTGTTTGGTGCAAACTCTGTGGCAGTCATCTAACCACTAAAATGATCCGGGGTCCTATGCCAGGATTCTGGAAAGCCATGGGAGCTGCTGCTGCAGTGGGCACTGCTGGGATGAGAACCTGGAGCATGGTGGTGATGGCCATGACATGGCCAGGAGCTAGGCACTGGGTCCACTCTGAAGCAGAACTTGATCTGCCCAGGACCACAGCAAGAGCAGGAAGACTCTCTTTCTCCATTGTAGAAAGCGCAAAAAATAATTTGGTGCTAGGGTGTGAGCCAGTTTCTGTGTTTTAGTAGGAGTAGATAGGGCCATCCAAAAAAACCTGTGTGGTTTCTCTGAGCATGACCATTTCAGCAGAAGAACTTTCATTATAGATTTTTTTTTATGAAGGGTATCTCTTGTTTTGTTTGTTTATTGTCTTGCTCAATCTAGTTCCAATTCTCATTAGAGTATGATATAACAGAATTTACACATTAAATAATAGCAGGAGGATAATGATGGTGATTCTATGTCCATTGAACTTGTATTAAACTTGTCTTTTGCAATTATGCTATCTTAATTTGAAAAGTAAACTGCTATCAATCTTCTGTTGTTAGGATTTTGACTGTATTTGTGATGCCTCCCATTACTAAAATATCATTTTTGACAAATGACCAGTGTGTACTTTGCTATTATTAACTAGTGCACATTCATATACAATCTGAGATTCTGCTTTATTTATGTGTTAAAATTTTAAAGCAAACAAACAAGGAAATAATAAAACTATAAAATCTGTCTTTATTTCTTCTTAGGTACTTTTCAACGTATCAGTTACAATGCAAGGATGTCATACAACTGGAGGGAGAAAATATGCCATACTTAAGCCTATTGGTTTCAATGAAACCGCTGTTGTTAATGTGCAGCGAAGCTGTGCCTGCCAATATGGGGACAGTACAAACCACAAAAGAGTATGGGCTGATGAAACTTCTGATAGCAAACAGTCCCACTGCAGTGACAATAACTGTAGCTCTAACAGAGAAGACACGCTTCCTTCAGAGAGGTGCAGGCAACACCAGGACCAACCTATCTGCAGTGGTCAAGGAAATTGCATAGATGGAAAATGTTTCTGCTACAAAAACAAGCTAGGCAAGGTATATGGCAAGTACTGTGAAATGGATGACTTTTCCTGCCCGTATCACCAGGGAAACTTATGTTCTGGTAAGCTGCAGAGTTTATGGCTATATTTTCTTTTTTGTTTTGTTTTCTGAGGCTAATGTACATGAAAACAATGCTATAAGGCTGTCAAGTATGAGAATTGTTTGTGCAGAATTAGTGTGGGAAATGTCCTGAACATCGTGGTTGGAATTTACACTCCTGGGCTTTCTTCACCACAGAGATATGCACTGTCTCCTAAATTTCATCCCTGCTTTTTAGGGGATACATTGATTTCTTTCTACATTTAGCTATTTTGATACTTAAATCACAAACTTTTTTATAAGTAATGATACTGATATCTCAAACAAAACAGTAACATTATTCCAGAAAGCAAGTTGATACATTTCAGTCTAATGGGAATATGAGATACTAAGAGATTAGGAAAGCATCATAGCTTCCAGATGAGATTCTGATTTTCCAACACCCTAAATCAGTCCTGGGAGAGATACAGTGACACTTGATTTCAAATACTGATATAAATGCCAGCAGTGTTCCCAACCCACTTTGCAAATTTGCTATTTCTTAACCATAAGCAGACCTGTCTTACTCATAAGTTTCTATAGCCTGAGATGTGGTGCCATGTTTGGCAGAGGAGACAGGGAGATACTTGTCCAAGACGTGTTGGAGACTGTCACCTGTGATGGAGTCCTGTCCCAGGGTACCACAAGGGGAACTTGCTGCCCAGGGCCATGGCTGAGCAGTGGGATGTTTTATAGTGCAGAGCCTTGCTCTGCTATCTTCTGTGAGCCCCTTTCCCCCTCCATTTTGCCCAGCCCAGGCAAAAAAGAGACCAGCCTATACCTTGGCCGCACTTCCATTCAGAGGATCCTATCTGTTGGATGGAGCTGTCTCCCTGAAGGAACTTTGTGGATCCCTGGATAAAAAGAGCCATTGCAGTTTGTGTGAAACTGCCATTGCATAGATGAGGAGCCCTCATTAGATTTGCTATATCTGCCTGTGCTTTATGTGTTCTCTATTTCTATATTTCCTAAAGGTGCTTTCACAGGCTCTGAAAAACATGGCTAAACATTATTAGCATGTCAGCTAAATGTGCTACAACATGGAAAACATAAGGATTTTTCTCTACAACTCCTACTTCTTTACCTAGAAAATTGTGAAGGCCAACAGAGGTTCTTCACAGCCTTTGAATTCTTGAGGCTGTGCATTTTAAATTCTTATTAAACATCATAGAGTTCATAAACACAGCATACCCACCTGTCCAGCTCAGTCATCTATCCTTTAGAAAGGAAAAAAAAGAGAAGAGAAGAGAAGAGAAGAGAAGAGAAGAGAAGAGAAGAGAAGAGAAGAGAAGAGAAGAGAAGAGAAGAGAAGAGAAAGAGAAAAGAAAAGAAAAGAAAAGAAAAGAAAAGAAAAGAAAAGAAAAGAAAAGAAAAGAAAAGAAAAGAAAAGAAAAGAAAAGAAAAGAAAAGAAAAGAAGAGAAAAGAAAAAGAAAAGAAGGAACAACTTGGCATGTGTGCATGAACTTGATACTCATTCCTCCACTGAATCTTGCCGTTTATTTGAATTGATTATTTTCTTATAAAAGAGAAGTTTGTTTAGTTTGCGTGAAGACTATGTTCCAGTCATTGTGTAATTTCTAATCCCCACTCCTTTCATCCAAGACAAGAGGGAAAATTTTTAGTAAGAGGTTTTAGGATGACACCATGGTAGTAACTTTTGCTTACTTAACAACAACCAGCATCCATAAATATATATCGTGCTGGTAATTTCAGCCCAAGTTATTAACTTAAAAACTAACTAGAAAGTCAAGGTCTAAATTAGCTTTGTTTAATGTAAAGCACCAGTGAAACAAATGTATGCATCTAAAAATTGATTTTCTATGTTTTCATAAAAGCATATGACTCAAGACTCTCTGATGTTGTAGGTAATGGTGAATGTGAAGGTGGTAAATGCAAATGCTTTTCTGGCTGGGAAGGTGATCGTTGTGAGTGCTCATCACAATCAGCAAAGCACTGCCTGAATTCAAAGGGCCAGATTTGCAGTGGAAGAGGAAAATGCGTATGTGGAAAGTGTGAGTGCACAGATCCAAGAAGCTTTGGCCGTTTGTGTGAATATTGCCCTACTTGTAACAAAGCCTGTGAAGAAAACTGGTATGTTTCTTGTGCTAGACTTGACTTTTTAACTCTCTGATGGTGAAACGTGGAGAAATATTTTTGCTTGGCTAGATGCGACATTTCTTAGATATTTAGGCTGTAGGAAATTGAAACAATTTATACTTTTCTCTCTGTAGCTGAGGGATTCGTACTGGAAATTAAGGGAATTGCATGTCCACATCTATGTTCACCAGTCTGTGTCCAACTTCCAGCTTTCAGGAGCCAAAAAACTATATTTTTTCATAGTTTTATTAAAATATCGATCTTCATAAGAAATCTTCTGGGTAGGAAATAAAACCCATGAATTTGGAGTTCTAGAAATGGACACTAGATCCTACATCTGAATTCCACAAAGTCCAGTAATATTTTCCAAATATGTTTTTGCACACTCCTTGTGCTTCTCAGTTGAAGGAGCTGTGTATTGTCATTGCCATTGGTCAGCAGAGCAGAGCTCGTCTTACCCAGAGAACAACATTCTTCGTTACTGAGTTTTAAAACACTTAGTCTTTGCCGTGCTAGTCTTAAAGCATGTCATTTTTCCTTACCTGTATAAAGGAGGGGACAGTGTGGAGGTTGAAATGAGCAACCCCAGGAGGAGAGAAGCTAGATCAAGCTCTCAGTGGCACACTGCATGGTCCTGGCGTAGAGAGTGAACGAAGGCCTTGGGCACAGCTTTTCTACACCCACTTGTCAGCACATAATGTTCTGCATCTCACTGTGGTGCAGAAGGTGAAAGATCAGCCTTTCATTGGAAAGGGCATTGTGCTCAAAACAGAATCATTGTTTATTTGTATTAATTTGAATTATAGCTCTTTGAAGGAAATGCTCTAGAGCCAAGCTTGATCATGTCCGAAAAGGTGAATGCTAAGATTTCACTAAATAAAATGCAGTTAGCCTTTCTGGCTTCCACTTGTTCAAAATCACTGTGAAATGTATGACTTTAATAAATTCAGAAGATGGCATACCTTTGTTAAAAATTCAGCCAGGGCTTTTTCAGGGTCTCATGTGATATCCATCTTCTGCAAGGCTATACAATGAAGATGGCAAGACTGAAAGCACTGCCTCCCACTGTGCTGCTGTCTCTCTGAACTGCCCAGCATTGCAAACTTACTTGGCTTTGTCTTAACATAGCATCCAAAAATTATGAACAAAGCTGTCTCTACTCTTCAATTCCAGCGTGCATCCCAATGAGTCTGATTTATAAGGAAAGACTAGGACTGAACTGGAAGCTGAAAGCTGAAGAAAGGGTGGTAGACCCTTAGCTACACCCTGTGACAAACTTGCATCACAAAGGGTAGAGCAGGGACCAGATGAAGGTGGCTCAAAGCCAAAGACGTGTTACTTTACAGCTTCTGACTAGTTGGTTCTGAGAAGCATCAGAGAGATAAAAACATTGAGAGAGGTATCACATTTCAGAAAAAAAAAAAATGTTGCAATGTTTTTACTAAGAGGAAAGCATTATGTGCAAGCAATAATATGTCAGCCTGTTGATACAGTCTCTTTAAAGGGAGTGCAGAGAAAGACATAAGTTTTTAATTATATTTTTATTTTACAGGAACTGTGTTCACTGCCATCATTCTAACAATACATCTCAAGCAATACTTGACCAGTGCACAACCTCATGCGCTTACCTACTGCATTATGTTGACCATACTTCAGGTATGTGACATTTTCTAGGTAATTTTAATAAGAGATTAAACTATATTGGGATTACTAATTGAATTCACCACTGTTAGAATGTCTTTCAAGTGTGTCATATTATTACAATAACAAAGAAGGCAGGAAAAAGAGAAAACTCATTCATAGCTTCAGGGAAAGTAAAAGATAAATAATAACAGGAAATATGATTTCAAACATTGCTAAATCAGATTTCCCAGCTCCTTGAGAAGTCACATCTAATAAAGATGAATCCTGCCTGAGCAATGCTTAAAGAAATATTTATAAAAATCTGTTATGGCATCTGTATGTTTTATTACTTTGGATATGCTTATATTATTTGACATTACCAGAAACAAGGGAAAAAGAAGTAGAATGCTTACCTCAAGTTCAGTAATGTTTGAATATTCCTTTCAAGTATAAAAAACTGCAGTTATGAGGGCTGTGGAAGAATAATTTTTTTTTGTAAATAAAATCTCGTAAAGCTTAATCACTCCACACAGCAACAAAAATGTAGGTAAATGTCACTTCACATTTATGTACATCTTTATATCCTACAGTTCATAAATGAGAAAACTAACTGTGAATATTCTTCTCATAACTTTAGTATTAATTAAGGAAAGCTTACCATGTGAGAAAAGTTTACCTGTGAGGACAATACTGGACAAGGATTCAATAATATCTTTCATATTTCACCAGTGATCTTCACTGTCATTTTCTGAAGATTAAATTCTCTTCACCCCAAACATCTTTAACATTTCATCCTCTCTATTTCAGCTATAAACTCACTCGTCTACAGAGAATTTATGGAGGAAGCCTGAGTCTTAATTCTGTAGATTAAAGGAATAATAGTTTCACCAGTTTTTTACAATGGATCTTAATCTGAATTGCCTTTCTTGATATGCCCCACTTTAAAAAGCCTACATATGGCAACTTTTCCTCTTAATTTCCCCTAAGTGATTTTCCCTCAATTTTTATCAGGCTTGTGTTACATTTATGCAACGTTGCTATGCAGTGGTAGATATACCTGTGTTAGAGGGATGTGTCTGCTCCGTACATTAGGCTTTACCCTTGTGTTTTCCTTTTGTTGCAGAATGTTTCTCTGGACGAAGCTACTTTAGAGTCTTTTCCATAATCTTTATAGTTACCTTTCTGATCGGGTTGCTTGTTGTCCTTATCATCAGGCAGATCATTCTGCAGGGGAGTAGCAATAAAGTTAAGTCTTCATCTGATTACAGAGTATCTGCAACAAAGAAGGTAATTTATTTCAGAGCTATCATGTTCAGTAATCTTTTTCTTGCATATAAAATTTAGCTAATTGCTGATAAAAATTATATCTTCTCCTTCAAGGATAAGATGTTTTTGCCTACAGTTTGCACAAGAACAGTAACATACAGACGTGACAAACCAGAGGAAATAAATATCGACATCAGCAAGTTGCGATTAAACGAAACTTTCAAGTGTGAATTCTGAAGACTGTGTGTTTTCTGCAAATTCTATTTCCATCATGATCGACTTTTAAAAAGTTACCTTTTGTACTCTGTGGGAATCTTGACTGTTGCCATACGGTTTTGTTTTGTGCATTTTGTTGAATACTGTAACTAAGTGATCTGTAAACGGACTCACGTTATGTGATTATGTTTGAAACTATAGCTGCTGTATTTTTTTAGGTTTTTTTGAAAGAGAAATGTGCGTTACTACTGTTCAGAAACATTAGTGTTGATGTAGCACTTTAGCATATTCTAATTTATTTAGTTATGGCCTAGAATGTAGATATGAACTGGTCTGACAAAGCACTGATCTCACTCTACATGTAGCTAGTACTGATGTGCTCTGTGGGAATGGACAAAAGCTGTGACTGAAATATTAATATTGCTGTATATTATAGCAATAGATGAAACTATTAAAATGCTCTTAAATAGAGTAAATGGTACTTTTATAGTTCTCTCAGTTGATAAATTCCACTGATTTGTCTGCTTTAGCGTCTTAGCTTTTCCTCATAAAAATGACTGGATTAAATAAGTATTTAGTTACTGGTGTGGGTCTATAGTTGTGTGTGTATACACACAGCATGCACACACAGGTAAATTATATATATAGTTTTTTATATGGATGATGTCACTTAAAGATAATTTATATCTGATAAAGAGTAATTTTTAGCTTTTTTACTTGTTTAAACATAAAAAACCCTTTTGTACAAAATTTAAGGTATTTGAAAACTGAGTGGCTACAGAAAATGAGAGTTTCTCTGTCCAACAGCATAGTCTACATGATGATCACTGTTGACTGACTTCACCTTTGGAGTCAGCAGCATGAACCCTGTTGCAAGTAGATGAATTACACCAGAGCTGTGTTTGGTTTGCTAGCTACATGTCAGTGTTTTGCCAAATAAAGGCTTTGATCTTTTTGTATGATGTCAGGAATGTCTGATTTTACACTTGCTCTTTTTCTTTATGTAAATTAGTTGATGGGGTCGAGTTTTGTGACTGATTTTTGTGACTGTGCCTGGAGAAATGTGTCCAGTGTGATGTGGAAAAGAACCTGCAATTTAGAAGGTGAGGAAAATATGAGTCTTTTTCTCAAGGGAACACATTAATTGACTTCATACATATGGGATCAAATTCTGCCTTCAGAAATGGACAAAGCTCTTCTAAATATGGTGGGACCAATATAAGCTTATCTGAGAGAAGAATGTGAGCTACAAGGTCACACAGAAGCATTTTTTTTTACCCCTGAAACTGACTGTAATGGTAGAAGACCATTGTGTTATATGCTAGTTGGAAGTGTCAGTCTGATTACTAACCCTATGCTGCCGAAACCCCACAGAAGTCTGATCAACCTCTAATGCTCTAAAATCTTGCTGGCAAAAAAAAAAAATCATCTCAGAAGACAGCGTATCATTTTAGCAACGTTTATTGCTAATATGAAATATTGGTCTGTATTTGTCATAGAGAAGAGTTACAGAAAAAAAGCAGGACCTCCTTATGTGCAGTTTTTTAGACATTAGTATATATTTCCTGTTCCGTATTTCTTCTGTAAATTCCCACTAAAATCTGAGGAGTATGTGTGTGAAAAGAAGGCAGGATGCAGAACAAGTGATAAGTGTTATGTGAGTGTTCAGTTTCTCGAGTAACTGATCAAGTGGGATTGAGAAAAACAATATAAAGACGTTGGCCTTTTCATTAGTCATAAAAGCTCTAGACCTTAGGGATTGGGTGTTTTTTTGAAACCTGTAAACTGGACTATTAAATGTTTCTAAAGCAATCTCCAAAGTAGGCCCTGAGCTTTCTACCATAAAGGTAAAAGTTTAAAGAAAAGAGTATTTCCTTACACTGACCCTGACTTTTAGTAATAGCTTAATTGTAGAATTTTAGTTATAGATTAATTCTGTAATCTATCAAGTATACCTTAAACTTTTGTTTTCTTTTAAAACATGTAGGACCATTTTCCTTCTGTGTAAATTAGCAGATTCCAAAAAATTGGTTTCAGTGGGATGAAGATAAAAGATTCATAAAGGTTTACCTGCTATTACCCTTATCACAATTCATGACTATTTGTGAGTAGCAAACAGTCTCTGGTTGTCTCTTTCACTTAACAAAACAAAAAAAATTCAATGCTCAGTGATATTTTCCCACCATAATGCTTTAAAGCATTTATTAAAGCATTTACTGAAGTGATAACAATTTTTTTTTTAGGAATTACTTTTCACTGCTAGAGGGACTTAAATTGTGTGGGTAGGGGACAACAGAGCTGAGTTCTCGATGGAAGAAAATTTGAGCTGTAACACCCATCTTCCAGACACATCACACTGCTACTGCTTTTCTTCTGTAGCACTTGGTTGGCATTGTGGTGCTGCCTGTGAAGGGGCACGGCCAGTATTTCCTTATCAGACACCTGCCTGAATGTTTAAAATGCTCTGGTCAAATAGAGCAGGCTCACGGGACCAATTGCACTGTAAGCAGCTTGCTGTCTTGAGATTAAAAAATGTACATTAAAAAAAAAAAGAAGTTTTTAAGAAAAAAAAAAAAAAGAAGAAGAATAAAAAGCTGTTTTGCATCTCCCTCATGGTTTTACTGTATTGTGGAGGAGGCTGGTGAAAGAGAATAAGCTGCTGCTAATGTGACAGGTCAAGGCTTTTAGAAGGCCCGTGGGGAGCTTATACAGAGCAGGATTCTTGGGAGGAGGCTTTGTTTCTAGGGATGGAATCTATCCATGAGAAACTCTGGCTTTGCTTGGTACTTGTTTCCCTCTGCCTTTGACCATGTTTTTCAGAAGAGCTGCTGCAGGAGATGAATAGCTCAACAAAAGCCTCACTATTTAGGGAGCTGTGTTCCCTCAGCACATGACCTTAAATGAGAAAGCAGCCTGTAATTCACAAGGAATTTCTTCAGTGATTGCAGAAGGACTCTGCTTCCTATAGTGCTTAATATGGGAGATATTAAAGACAAATTAGTTCACATTAGTTTTCAATGTATTGTGTGTCAAAGATGCTCATAAAAATAGGGGGAAAATATCTAACCTCAGAATAGAACATTCCAAACTACTCAAATAAAATTTCTTATACTAGGCTCCTTCAAAAAAATTAAAAGGAAGTCAAATAATTCTACTGCATGCCTATATCCAAATATGTACCAGCAGATACTGTTGTATCTCATCATTTGTTTTGGGAATTGTTTTTAGATTTGCTCCCAGAGCATGTGCATGACTTTTTACACCATAAATGTTAATGTTAAAATACATATGTATAATTTTCAAATGCTAATCTCCCTTTTTTTACCTTTGACTGGTTATTTGCCTAACATTTCAGAAATTCCATGTTTATGCAATTAAAAAGCATGCATTTTACTTCAGATGTTTTTAAGTACTGTAAAATGAGGAAAGCTATGAAATGGTTATTTCCAAGCATCATGAGTACACTAATAAGATTGCTGAAGAAATGTGTGGGAAAATAGCTGTTTCATCCAGAAAACGTGCACATGGTATGCAAGGAATTTTCATTGTGCCCAACTGAAATTCCCTTACATTTGCAAGGAATGTTAAAAGTGAACCTTTAAAAGGAAGGATGTTCGTATGGGCATAGTTTACATTTTATCCGTTATTCTCAACTGGATTTATTTTTTCCTCTCTATGATGTCATGAAAACCTGCTATGTAAAGCATTCTTCATACTGCCACGGAAAAATATTATTTTCCCAGTGTGATCATATATAATATTTGTTTCCTGCTTAGTGTGCATACCTAAATGTACATGTTTTGCAAACCATGGGAGTGAATGTATGAAACAGCTTCAAGCAACCCTCAGTCCTAAAACTAAACATAAGGTCTGGAAATGCCCAGGACAGAGAGATGCAAGGGCATGGCTGCCTGTGCAGGGACTTGAAGAGGGACGGCAGTCTCAGTAGGTGCAATGCTGGGGTTTCCTACAGCGTCCCTACAGAGATGATGCTCCAAGACCTCCCTTCTCCTTTTGTCAGGGCAGGAAATCTCTTCAAAGTAGGTTGATTTAGCAGAGATGTTGTCCTAGGTTTGCATCCTAGGCACTTGTCCACACACTGGAACTACATAATATGCAGTCTGAACCATAACACTGCAGACATTTCACATCTTTATTCATCCAAAATGCTTACACGTCACATAGCAAGGGATCGCCTGTAAACTTGAATGCTGCAGATCTCCATCAAAGCTTCTGGAGAGTCTTTGGGCACCTGCTCATTGTCTTTCCACCAGCCCTTGGATCTCCACCAGTCAACCTTGAGGAGTGTAAGCTGTAGCTGTAAAGGGCACTTCTCATAGAGGTGTTTGTGCTGAGTCAGTGCTGGGTGACACCTAACTCTGCTCTGACTGTGAGTGATGAGTGGTGCCAGTGTTCCAGCTGTCCATTTGCAAGAGAGGGGAAAGTAGAAATGAAGCTGTAGTTAAGAAGAACACTACTTTTTAATTATATCTTGAGGCTGCTCTGATGCACAGACATCTCTGGGCTCTCATTGAGAGCCATCTCAATTCTCAGAGAGCCATCTCTGAGAATTGAAATGCATGGAGAGCGGGGAAAAAAGGTTAAAATTAACCAGTAGGAATGCATCTCTGTAGTGAGACAAATCAGTGGGGTTTCACTGAGAGCTCAGAATGGTTGGCCTGTCTGCGGTAAAAAAACATAACGCTTCCCCCCCTCAAAATTACTAGATCCTTAGGCTTTAGAAGTGCTGCTCTGGATTGCATGTTCTCTTTCTTTCCTTTTCTGTACACACTTTTAAAGAAAAAGGTACCTACTTATTAAAAAAGAATTGTCTGGCATTTCTTAAATTAATGACTTCTGTCTAAATCTAACATTTCATTCTGATACCTATATTGTGTTTGGGCTGTTTCAGTTGTATTTTGAAGGAAGTTGTTGAAAGAGTCTTTTGGAGAGGCATTAGTGTTGGATGAATTCACCATGCTAACATCTCCGCTCTTGCCTACTGCTGCTTCAAGAATAATGCTACTTTAAAGTGTCTTATTTAGCAATTGTGTCACAGCTAATAATAATACTACAGTTTTTAACTTTCTATTTAACATATGCTACCTTTTGTAAAAAAAAGTATATAAAGATAAATAATGTTCCTCTAGATTTTATGCATAGAGAATATTAGTAAGGGAAGAGGGTTTAAATTTTATAACTTCTTACTGTTCGTTTTACATTTTAAATGATACTTTTAAATCACTACTTTTGTTTGTCTGGAAATATACTGAATATTTTATTATTTAAAATAGTATACTTTTATAGTTGTTTTATTAATTTCAGTTGACTACTAACTTCTATTTTGGTATTTATTACTGAGTTGACACTGTAGTATATTGAGATGTTTATTTTTCTATCAGAGCTGTAACAACTATGACATAGCATTATTTTAATGCAACATCATTGTACTTGCTCTCTAAAAAATAAAATCAATATTTAATCCATGTGGATATTTTCATGTGTTTAATGTGTCTGTGATAAGTAAAGGAAGAGGTGTTCACCTCCTTGTAATACTGTGCCCAGAATAATAAAATATAAAGAATACTGTGTTTATCAGATATAGGCAAACAGGGGATGCATGCTCAGAATGAACTTCGAGAAGGTAGGAAGGATCACAACAGCACTTATCAGTTTGGAGGTGGAGCTGCCCAACCCAACTGGAACATGAATGCACCAGGAGATGTTAGTACGTTGTAGGGGACAAGAAGATACTTCTTGTATAAACATAATCTCTAGATTAATAGGTGGTTGTGATAGCCTTTCTTCAGCTTTGCTTTGCTGGGTGGTAGAGGAACAGGCTTTCTGGAAATGGGTAAATCTCTCTGTAACGCTTCACATATGCCACTCTCTGCAGGTTTAGGTCACTTTATGAGTACTGGTGAAAATGCATCACTAGGTGGGGAAGGTGACACACATTCTGTTCTTGAGCAGAATCAGCCATGGTATTTACTATGCACAGTGCCATGAAATCTTTCCTGAAAAGGACTTTAGACATGCTCTGTGAAAGGACATTCAAAATTTGCCATGATGCCTGAGTAAGAGATATCTGTGGCACTAAGACACCTGTCAGACATCACAGGTAAAGCTATCTGTCCATGCTTCTAACATGATCCAGCTTTTGCTCTAGGAATGAGAGACAGAGCTAGAATCAAGTGACAACTGATGTGTACTCAGTCATTATGTAACTTAGTGTCCATGACTTAGCAATAAAATAGAAAAACCAACGAAAAGGTGTACATCGAAATTAGAAAAAAATACGTAAATATCACAAGGATGTTAATCTTTTTTGCTTCTTTCATCAAAGCAAATAACATCATTCCAATAAATAACATCATTCCAATATACGCCTGATGAGGGTCAGTCTGAGAAATTTCCTTTCACAATGCAGTACTCGTCAGCCTTCAGTGACACACAGAGCAAGCACATGCAACCACTCCTACGAAAAGAAATACCCATTTTCCTTGAAAGCTCCTCAGTAAACATAAACCTAGATATGAATTTCAGGCATATAATTCAAGCGTACAACTTGAGCCAGAGCCATAGACCATCATTTTGCCATTTGATAGTAATCTTGAAACTGAGGTTTTGTTAACACTTAAGTCTTCTATAGACAGTGATTGTGGCCCCCAGCTGTGTTGCATATCCTGCATGTTGTGGAATGATGGTGATTTGTATAAAGTCTTTATTTCTTTCTTCCTATATCCTGAAATCCATCAATTAAGTCATACCCATATATCTTTAAATATCCAGATAATGACAATTAGGGTTTTTGACATGAGTAGCATTTTATTTAGCCAATTTTTATCCATATCTACGAAGTTGTCAGCAAGGGCACAATAGTGCCCTAATTTGTTTCTAATGTAATGCAACTGCTATTTTGTTGCAGATGCCAATGACAAGGAAAAGACTTGCTGCTCAGGCTCTTCAAAGGGGAAAGAAATCTAAGTTACAGCCTCTAAAGCCAGAGAAGGAAGGAGATCCTTATTTCAGCCACTTTTTTGACACCAGTCATGTAGGTGCATTTTATTACATAATTTCTCTGCCTACATGATTCCTTTTGTGGTAGGTGCAGAATTTGATCCACTACTCAGAGAGGATGACATTAGGGACAGTTGACTTGAGTGAAGATCTGAATATGCATGATGACAACCAAAAGACGATGATCAGAATTAAGAGTAAAAACTTTGTTTACAGACTGATTTTTGATTAGTAAGAAGTTAATCTGAAAAGTGGGTGGTTTCTTTTGCTTTCAGGTTAACTACAAAGACAAGAACCTTGGAAATACATTTCTGATACCCTGGGTTTAAAACCAAACAGTTTAATGTATTGTATGAATTAAATAAATATCTAGTTTTACAAAAGCCCAAATGGTGTGACCCTTTGATTAGACCACAGGTGCTGTCACTGTGGTGTAGGGGCTTCTGGCTCCTCATCTTCTGCTTGGGAGTCTTGGAGTGGTCAAAGTTGGATTGGACTGTACAGAATTCATATTAACTAGACACAGGCTGACAGTCTGATTTATTAGCACTAAAGAGGCCCCAGCATTATCATCTGGCTCTTCATTCCAGGGAAACTGTGATGGATGGCAGAAAGCAGTATTTTCCTTTTTTTGCAAACCGTTCTATCTCCTCAGCACAGAGCATGGTCTCTGATTATTTTCTTGGCCTTGAACTGCATGATTCATGAAGGATGGTTACTGTTTAATAAAGATGATGTGTATGCAAGCTGATAAAACTAAATGATTAACCACAAAAGCATAGTAATGCCAAGTTATGTCACATATACTTATTGCAATCAGTGCATGTGATGTATTTCTTCCAGTTCTACAGCTTGCCAAGTCCCCCTTTGGGGGCTCTAAGCCTCATCCTAAGCCTCTTGTTTATGCCTGAGCAATCTGGAGAGCCCAGGACCTGTTTTTTGAGTGGGGTTCCTCTGCTCTCAAAACTGCTCACAGGAGAAGCCTTTCCCACAAACCCCTTTCTGACTCTTTAACCTTTGACCATAGCCTTAACACATCCATCCTGAAAGCATCACTGAGGCTGTAAGACACATGGTTGAACTGCTGAGGAAGCAGGGGATGTTACCCACCCTAAGTGGGTGGGTTTTTTACGGTATTTATAGACACACTTTTGCTTTACTCTGCTTTAGACAAATCAGGAATTTCAAAGACTTCTACAACTTAAACATGGTGCTCCGTAGGTTATCCTTGTCTTCAGGAATGTTTAAGGTTGGTTTCTGTCCTTGAATCATTGTGCAGCTGCA